ACAAATGTATGTACATATGTAACTATACATACATACACAGTTACAACATTCGTAGAAGAACTCAAAATTCACTTGCTTCACTTGCCTGGTTGGTGTGGAGCGTCGTGAAGAAGATCCTCAAGCATATGTCATTTGTCAGCGGCACTTAAGTGTAAGCACACTGATATAAAAATATATATACATACGCGTTTATAACTGTATGAATACCAATACATACATGCATACATACATATGTATGTAAATAAACGACAGGAACCCATTTTTGCTGTAGATTTTGTATATTCTTATAATTGGCTTTTGAGCTGCATACTTTGCTCGCCTTTCGCATTTGGCACGCATACATACATATATACTGATACATATGCATAGATACATACTCGTGTATGTGTACTTTTCTCATTCCATTATTGCCTAATTTGGTTATGATTATGCGGCTTATAAACGCTTAAGGCCTTATTTTTTCGTCTGCTAACTACATTTTCTCGTTCGTTATCTATTTTAATTCTCTTATTATCCTTTTTGTTCTTACTCGCTTTTACATATTTGTTGCTTAATATTATTATTATGATTGTTGTTTGTACATATGGGTGTTTGCATTTCGTATGATATTTTTTATTTCCGCTCTTCGTTTTATGGCTGTTATTATTATTTCTCTGCTTTGTTAACGAGTATTTTTCTAGCTAAGAAGATGTACGAATTAACGGTATGTAAGTTTGTACTATGTTTCTGTGCTTTACAGAAATATCCGAGAGATGTGATGTACAAAAAACTGCAATTATTTGGTAGATGTCAGATAAAGAGTGATTTTCCCAGTTCAAGCGGGCTTTGTGACTTCACAGTGGTTGTATTTGGCAACAGAATCGAGTTGCAAGAGTGCAAAGTATTGAATTTTGTAATGAAATTAATGACCGGATTAGAATGTCTATCCAAAATCACTTTCATTTTATAGTCAGTTTTTTTGACTTTCTGAGAGGGATATCTAGAGGATTTTTGAGTAAATTTCACACCAAATACCGAAAAGTGATAATATAGTAAGTCTGCACCTAAACTTAAGATATCTACTGAGATACTAAAAGTTTAAGATTCAGTATTTATTAACGTTTTCATATAAGAAATAAAATTTTCTCAACACCATGAAACAATTTCTTCCGCACGACTTTGTGAAGCGAAATCTCGATATATTCTAAGTCATATAAGTGGGGTGTGTGAAAAAAATAAGAGCCTTAATAGCTTAACAGATTCTTCGAAGAAAACAATGATACGTTCTAAATTTCCGATATTTGAAGTCGTGAGCATATTCGAGTTCTGACAGCGCGTTCTATAGTCGAATGATATCGGGAAAAAAAATAAGGAAAGGAGGCGACTCTTCGAGGAAAAGAAAAAGGACGAAAGAGCGAAAAGCTTGAATTTCTGGCAAGCAAGAAAGCAGCCCAAAAATTCTATCAGAAATTACGGCACCAAATTAATGGTATCAAGTCCAAAGCTAGTTACTGGTATTTAAAGTGCGCTAGAGACTGGAAGAAAGCACTTCTCAGTGCTATTGAATAGCAAACGTACAGTGACCACGTCGAGGGGACCTCAAGAGAGGTTAATAACTGTTGGACTTGGAGTTGACGGTATACAAATGAGCTTTTCAAGGCTGGTAGCGAAGAGCTATTGGGGCGCAACCACCGTAGGTTAAGTTTTCTCAACGTCGCAGTAAATATTAAATGATCACTACAAACCCTCGAAAACCTTTTGTTAAGTGTGGAAGAACCAAGCTCAGAAAAATATATCAGCTCTTAATCTGAGTAAATGGTGGAATTTTGCTTATGAGAGAATAGATGTGCGACATCGAAAAATCGCAGCACGGTTGTAACGGTTCCAAGCACCATTCACTTTTGTTCGGAAATTTGCTGAGTAGTCACCGAAGCTCACCATACCGAGGCGTTTTAGCCGCCTATTAAATTTTCCAATTCGTTCTTCTATCGAATGTCTTTTTGAAAATACTGCGGTGTTCAGTCTATCTGTTTATGTGTACAGTTCAGCATTTGTGCATATTCTGCACTGCAATCTTTCCAAACCCGAACTGTGCTTAGTATTACAACATTGCAGCTTGCTTGAGGCTTATCATACAGATCTAAAAGAATATTTCAAGTACTTTCGTAAGAGTTGAAAGCAACAGTGCCCCAGCAGAAACTAAATGTTTTCCCGGTTAGTCCCTTGAAATGACTTTGTCGTGTGCTGGCCTCCGCTTGCTTAAATACCTCGCCAGCTCGCAGCCGCATCTATGGTGGACAGACGCTGCTACTAAACTACAGCGGATCCATAAACCGAAAAAGTCAGAGAGACTCTACTGAACCTTCTTCTATTTTAGCTGTGACCCAAGGCTCCACACAGACGGGCTACCGCATCTTTGACAAGGGTTACTCACGCTTGCAGGGTGCGCGAAGTGGACGCGAGAATTGGAATTGAGTATAGCCTCGGGGCTGTAGCTGCATACCCAGAAGCCTCCCTATAACTTTTTACATTAGTCGACATATTGAAAGGTTTTCTTTCCGAAAAGTGGACCAAAAAATCTTACTGTTTTCGATTTGCCTAATATTCTGGAATATAAATTGCTTTAGGGTTGAGACCAGTGGCCGGTTAATTCAAAAATATTGCTTAGAATTCGATTTGCTTGATATGTGGAATAAAAGCAGCTTATTTCCTATTGTAGATTAAAATGTGGAAACTAATCTTACTGGGACTGATGTACTCGCACTCGAAAGTATACAATTTTCTTTCGATTTGCTTGTTACTTTGCATATTTCAAGTAATCAATTGAAAAAAATGACAACAAGCGTGTGGGAACAATGGGATATGTACTAATAGCCCGTTTAGCTTAGACACTCCCTGGTACAATATTTTGTATCCAGCTGAAAATTAGTCCTATATTTTAAAACACCACCGTAAGATAAATCTAAGAGGTTAGGATCAAAGGTCACAAAACGGTTTTTGCGGCTTAGAATTCAACGCCAAGTTTTACCATACAATTATTTGGACAAAATTTGTAGATCAGATAATTATCTCTAAAAACTATCTAAACACTTTTTTCCTAAAAACAACTGTTTCTAAGGTACAGCAGTTCAAAAAATGGTGCACTGTAGGCATGAAATTCTTTGTCTTAAATTACTGGAGGATCGCCTCACAGCCAAAAACTGCTTATAGTAAAGAGTTGAAGCTTGAAGCTTGAAGACATAAAAGGTTGTTCCGAAATTGTATCACCAAAGAGGTAATGCCAAGGCGAAAACTGTATGGGACAACGTAATGTAACGACGATGAAGTGCGATGATTCTTAAATAATGAGACATTTTAATTTTAGAAAAAGCAATTACAGATCTTATTAGAACCATTTCCATGCGGACAAAGTCGCGGTTTTTCACCAGTATATATAGCCGCTGAAAAGATTTTCGGTCGAGCTCTCTCTCCAATGGAAAGAACCTCGTTTGTCTGATTGTTCTCTTGAGAAGTTTTATATCTTGTCAGAAACTAGGCGTTCCAAGTCCCTGCCCAAGGTGCCACAACTAAACAAACTTAATTTTCTATAATATTGAATATTAGTCAGACCGAGATTCTAATACTGGTCTTTCAAATAATAGTACACACCGTTAAACACTCGGTTATTGACTTTTTTATATACACACTTATTTACTTTAAAAAGATGATTTTCCTCATTCCTTTTGCAAAAGTTCAGTTTTTTGATTATGTAATATTATTCTCTTCAGCTATTTATAAATATATTTAAATTTATGGAAATTTTACGGAACCAAAATTACACTCGCATATCTCCCCTCACCAACTTCTGTTGTTCACCGCATAATAATGCCACCGAAAAAAAATTTAAAAACAAATTAACGGTTGAAAACAATGACCCAGAAAATTTGAGGCATGAGCAAAAAAGAAATATATTTAAAAATTTATGCCACAAAAGTGAAAATCCACAAAAGAGCCAAAAACCTAAAAAATAAAAGCACGCAAAAAAAAATGCGAAAAAATTAAAAGAAATAATTCAAGGCAAGAGAAGAGCAGAAATATAATTTTATGTGTCGCCAAGAAATGTGGCGAAAAACTTTCGCTGACGCTAAAACGAAAAGAATTATGGCACAACAGCAAGGCAAGACAGCAAGGCGGGGCAATAACAGCAACAAACTGCTGTAAATCAAACGAAAAATGCCCAAATGGCCAAGTAAAGGAACTACAACAAAAACAATGAGCACAGCAAGAACAGCTGTTGCCACCCTACTTTGCCTACAAACACCAGCCACCATGGCTCAGCCATACCACCGCACCAGCGTGCCGTTCTCCTCATGCTTTTGTTTACTTGTGCCACTTGGCTCGCGCGCGAATGCGCTGTCATTGCCATTTTCTAATTTTCACTTCCAAGCAAATAAACAAACAAACTCGAAATTGGAACACCGAGCACACGGAGCAGGACGAGGATGACGATGAGCACGGGCACGAGTTGCGAGGTTTGGCTTTTGGTGACGACGTAGGAAGGAGCTGCTTCTGTTGTTTATGTCACCGCCACAAGCGTCCTTGGTTCTTGGTCCGCCGCAGCTGTGGACCATTAACCGGCAAAAGCAATGTTGCCGCTATGCATACACTAACTTCGACGTGCACACAATAAACTTTTTTCAACAGCCCAGCAGCAATGGCGGCCGTCAAACATCGAACACATAGCTCTCACTCTCTTTCCAGCGCCTCAACCGCAGCTGTTGCCCTGAGTGAGTGGCTAGCCAACTGAAACTTATCGCCTGCTGCCTGCTCCTTGATGCTGCCGCTATTGGCCTAGTAGCGACTGTTACCACACGCCATTTTTGTAATCATTTTTTCAGCTCGCCCTCACTGCTGGCTGAACTGTTGCAACTTACGTCGGACTCTTATTGAAAAAATTACAATTCTCACCATTTTTATACACATACTTACACACCATTTCATGAAGTGCTGCTACACTTTTTTGCTCTCCACCTCTCTTTAAGCACATACTAAATTTTTTTATACTCCTACTCATTCTATCTCTCCATCTCTCTTGCTCTTTCTATTCCTCTTGCAGAGTGGATTTTCGTCCAGGTCGTGGGATTTATGATTTGCAAATAAAAAACACCTCATACAATCGCGATAATGGCCGTTTCGAGTGTCGGATCAAGGCCAAAGGCACAGGTGCCGATGTGCATCAGGAATTTTACAATTTGACAGTTTTGACGCCACCGCATCCGCCGATGATAACGCCCGGCAACATTGCCATTGCTACTGAGGATAAGCCATTGGAGTTGACTTGTAGTAGTGTGGGTGGTTCACCGGATCCAACAATAACGTAAGTACATACCGACATACACATGCCCATATACAGCTAAAGTGGAATGATATTTTGTACAAAAAAAAGCAGGGAAAAAATGAAAATTATGACTTAACGACAGGTCACAGGCTGCATCCGAAGCAAATAAAGTATTAGCACATACATACAGACATTCTTTGAGAGCAGTAGTTGTGAGTACATATTGAATATATGTAGGTCTCTAAACAATCAATGGAAAGTGAAAAGCAAACAAGTAAAAAAAGAGAGAAAAAATTCAATAAACCAATGAACTATGTTTGGCCTGTGGAGACATTTTGGTGAATAAAGAAAGGTCAGTGTTTACGATAAAGGACATAGGAGATAGGAAAGTTATGTGATAGGAAAATACAGCGAAATAATTTTAAAATACTAAAAAAAAGTTAAAAAAAATATTCTAAGTGAATAAAAATGTCCAAGTGAACATTTTCAAAGCATTGAAGTTGCTGGTTCTTTAACTTTTGAAGTTTTTCGCATTTCAAAAAAAAAAGAAGTTTTATTATAACGAAGCTATATTAGTCCAATATTGATACCCTTTTGCGAGAAGAGAGCCTGAAATCGATCACTAAAACACAAAGTACTAATTACTCTTAGTCTGCTGTCTCATGCCAATTGAAAGTACCTGATTAAACCAGGTGGCTCTGGCCTGATCCTTTAAACATAGTGGAGATGTTTCTCTAACTCCCTCTTCCCCAATGGATACTTCAGCTCATGGTTCCACAGTGTGCGACATTCGCTGTAGCGGCTCAAAAATTAAACTACCTCCAACAGTCTCATCGGATATTAGCAATATCCCCTTTTCAGGGAAGTCACTCACCTTAACATGTGGATTTATTGTGGACGATTTTGTTTTTCAGTCCAAACCAGTACCTGCAGGCTGGTATTATATTGTTATTAATATTGATGTCTAGATAGACCTGAATGTTATGTGAAGGGAGTCAAAATATTTTATATCTGTTCGATTTGCCAAGTCCATGGCCACACTGATTAGGTGCGAACATTTCACTGATGATGGGCTTTATTCTTACTGATGGTACACTAGATAAGAGCTTATATGTGATATCGAAAAGACATATTTCAAAATTATTGATGTAGATTGAAAGGTCCTGCCTTTTATGGATGAGTGGGAGCACGTTTTGGCTACATTCGTTCGTCAGACATTCGATCAACCAGGTTCTGTTATATTTACTATAATCATTTCAATCAAAAAACCTCTGACTTAGCCTGCGTTAGCAGCTAACTGCAATTGCTTTTCATATGACATCATAGTCGAAGGATGACACGTCTATTTTATTATCATCGGTTAGAGTGTTTCATCTCCAGGCGTTACACTTTCACTATAGTTAGGAGGCTGGAGAAGTGTCTCTACACTGAACGTCAGTCAGCGGATCCCTCTTTTGATTCCTGCAATCAAAGTCTCTGATTTTGAAGCATTATTTCTTGGAATTTTCAAGCATTTCAACTATGGGCCAACTTCTCATTCTTGTCATACTCACACCTGGTATATTTGTCGCAAGGTAAGCTAGGTTTTCTCTTGTTCATTACACCTCTTCTTTCGAACTATCTAGAAAGCAAAACATTGGTTCGTTATCGAGTTGTTGATGAGTGCTCCCAAAGGGTGTGACAGCAAGTTGCCGAGAAACCCAGAAACAAAAGTAATTGGTTGCATGATTTTTGGTCCAGTGACAGCAAAGTAGCTTTATGAATTTCCTTGTTGTATATTTCCGGCTCGGACACAATCCATAATTCTGAGCCATTTACAGGAGTCTCATCTTCCGGAAAATGCCTCAACCCAAGCATATATTTTTGAATATGAACCCACCTTCTGAGCCGTAATTTTAGTAAACACATCAATTAATGGAAAGTACATTCTAGCTGAATTCGTGCAAGTCATAATCCTTTGTACTTTTCACAGCGGTCATCATTAAAACGATCGTCTTTTCCCGGGAACTTATTGCTGCAATTGCTGTGGTGGAGCTCAAACTTTCTTTTCACTATCTCAAAGTATTGAACTTCGCATCCAAGAGCTTGTGGTTTGGCAATCCACGCCCTTTCCAGGTGAATGGCAGATAGAAACATATCTCTCTTGGCGGGACTTTTACAACTGGTTCCCTCTGACAAAATCATCTAAGCAGCTTACCTGAGGAGTTCTTATTATACAAATATGGTCGGACAAAGGCTTGCATCCTGAACTTCCGAGTTTGTGAGAAAACAAAAGCACAGCCAACGTTTGAGACGGAATATACATTTAGAGTGATCTAATTCTGGCTAGTCAAAATCATGGTCTCATCGGTGCAAGGCTTCCTACCGACCTTTTCTCACATTTTTTTATAGAAAATCTAATTTGAGTCTTGTGGTATAGGTTCAGGGCAGGATAAGCCCACAACAACTAATATCTACGAATGGGACCCCTACATATTTTCATGTTGAGTAAAATACTAAAAATTCTCAAAATATTTTGCAAATTTGCTCTTTAATATTCAATCTAACCTGAGAACTTTTACATTGCTTTGCTTTAATTAATCTTATGGTATGAGGAATTTAAAAACTCATTTGTAACTTAAAAAATGTGTAGACGAATCTCCCCACTGCCGGGCTAAATCTACATGTAGAAGCACCTTATACATATGTATGTACACATATACCTGAAAGAATAGCCAGGCTTATAACTGATGCCCGAGCCAGCAAGTTAAGGTCAAAATGAAATTAAAAGTAAACGTAAATTGATTGACTTTGAGAATAATGTTGACTTAAGAACAAAGCAAAAAATCGCATCAATTTTTTGGTAGCTAAAGAGAGAGCGTAGTAAAGCTGTGGGCCAACAAGATTTTATACATATTCCATTTCACCTTAGCTTTAATTTTAATTTTAACTTTAACTGAACTCCATACCCACGATTTCCTTAATAAATGTGAATATTGCGATATTAGGACTTAATTAGGAGGAGAGTGGGAGACTATATTTGTATGCCACTCTCCAAACACTGTCCGTTAATGTTGGAGAGTCAATAAATAATTTTTTAATTTCCCAACTCTCCCACTCCCTACTCCTCTGCCATACACGCACACACACACTCAAACACATCATTTTATCTACACTTCCTCTTCGTGCTCTAGGGCTCATTCTCTATTTCTTTTTCTGCTACTTTATTTTTGTTTATTTGCTATTCACCATTTCTAGTTCTCTCCACCAAATCTTTCCATTGCAGTTGGTTTCGCGAAGGCAGCAGTGTACCGTTACAATCGTATATACTAAAAGGCGGCTCCAAGAATCATTACACCAATGCAACATTACAAATATTGCCAAGACGGGCGGACGATGGCGCCAAATATAAATGCGTCGTTTGGAATCGTGCCATCTCCGAGGGTCATAAGCTGGAGACAACTGTCACGCTGAATGTGAACTGTAAGTAGGCAATCAAATTAATTGCTTTTACTCCCGCACACAAATACCCACACACAAAATGCGATATAAACATTGAATGCCACTAAAAGTAAAGGGTGTTTTTTTAGACTTGTGGTATTTAAAACGAAATAAAATGTATTTAACTTTATGCTATGACTGAGAATTCAGCTTTGTTTTAAATATAAGAGCGCGCTTGATTGCGAGCAAGTGACCATCTTGGCTGGTATGAATAAATCCAGCCGAGAGACCCAATTTTCGACAAATTTTTGAAGCAATTGTAGCAGTTTGTCAGCATTAACGAGCCGAATACTTTTTTTCCAGGAGTCTATCGTATTTGGTTTATTTCCGTAGGCAAGCAACCTCTCATAACCCCACCAAAAATAGTTTCGCGGTGTTAAATCACCCGATCTTGGAGGCCACGACACAGGACCACAAGGCGAGATAATGTGTGATCCCAAAAGTTTGTTAGCTTTATAGCATATATGTAGCAACACAAGCTCGTTCACAGCAACATCCAGGCTCTATATGGCCGTAATAATTTTTTATGAAATTTCCTCTGTCCAATCCTCTGACTTTTAGAGTATATACTGACATCTCAACTGTGGCTTTAATTTATTAACATACCCACTCAACCAAAAGTAAGCTTCATCGCTGAACAATATATTTTTTTTTTCAATGGGGATTGCTGGTCATCGCGGATTGGTCTCATTCATCTAAAGAGCGACAATTTTTGCAAGATTTGGCTTTTATAATAAGATCCTTCCGAAAAAATTTCCATTAAGTGAATGGATATAGTTCCAATTCTCCGCGCTGGTGGATGAACTCATTCGGGTCTTCTTAGATAGTCTGCTCCACAGCAACAATAGTGTCTTCAGGATGCGCTTCATTGACAACCGAACGTCTAAAAAGCACCCTCTACATGTGTGTGTGGAGTGGCCTGCTAACCACGATGCGTACCAACACACACACATACATACTCCCATTCGCAGGAATTTATAGGAATTTCGTCGCGAAATCAGTGAAACTGAGAAGACTGTTTGCTCGAATTGCTGATTTGGCGGGAAAGCCGTCTCAATGACTATCTAGTTGGTTGGCTGGCACGCTGACTGACCATAACGCAAGAAACCCATTATATGTATGTAAAAATGTGTATTTATATCTCGCATTTCTGTCATTAATGCTTCGCACTAATGAGCGCAGAAAGCGAAAAATTTTATTTTTAACTTAAATTGTTGGGTGGAGTAGAAACGATTAAGTATAAAACTGCTTGGCTGTGTTTGAGTGAGGATTAGATAAATAGTGGTAAAAAGAGAGAGCGCGAGGTATATAAAGATGGGGTAGAGAGAAAGCGAGATAGATGTAGAGCGCTGGTGGTAATGATTTAAAAATATTACTTTTTCTTAGTGAAAAGTTTAAAAAGGACTTAAAAATTTCCGCCTTTTGTGCTAATTATTCAATCAATTCGAGAAATAATAAACAAATTATGGCGGGGAACAAAAAGAGAAAAGGTTTTTGGTTCGAAAAATGAGCACTTTTTTGCAGAATTTGCAGATGCTGCTAAAACAGAGAAAAAACGAAGTCAACTAACAAATAATTTTTGCTAATGAAATTAAGGGTCATTCCAAGAGAATTTGTTGTTCTTCTCATTGCAAATGAGCCGTAATTAAATATAAGCTATGACACCAATTTGCACTTTTTTTTTAATTGCTTTTATAGAAGATAAAAATTTCTAGAAGCAAAAGCAGCAAATTAGAGCCCGACGTATGCACAAGTGAGCTAAATGTTTTCGATTCACTAAATATAAAGCATCTATAATTTTCTAAAATGTTATTGATCCTTGGGTGTAGTCCTGAAAAATTAAAAATTGGCAATGATTCGGGTCTATAAGGGATTCATCTGGAATGCGAATAATTTCAATAAACAATTCAAACAAAATGATTTGAGTGGAGGTTGTAATGGGGTGCAGTCAAGCTTCAATGTATGCAGTTACAGTCTTTACTCTTATTGGGGCTTGCAGAATGTTTCAACACCGCAACACACTCTTGTAAGACCCACAGAGGTGGTCTCACGACTAGTGACATGCGTATACTATTTAGTGTACAGAGGGAACTCTTCTAAAGCCTACTGAATGGCTGTGAAAATGGAGAGTTCTTTATATAGTTTTACATCTAGATGATTTTTTTCCAACAAATGGAGTGACATACAGTTTATACTAAGCCGTAACTGAACGTCTGATGGTTTTGTTGATATTCCCTGCCGAGGGGCGATCACAATTCGAAAATTTAGGTTAATTTTTTATATAAATAAATTGTCTATAACTTTGTGAATGTTGGTACAACATCAGGATTTAAGCCCGAGCATTCCGAATGAAAGTACGCAATGCTAACCTAAGTTTTCTCACTTTTTGGCGAGTGATCAAAGTTGCGGCCGGTCTAGCATAGGCCTGACACCTTTACGATTGACCACTTCTGTCCGCTTTTCTTTGATGGATGTATTCAACTTGTCCAGTTGTTCAAAGCAGACATCTGTATTAATCGTTTGGTTCCTTGGAAGCAGCTCAAAATATACCACGCCATATCCAATCTTCCAATTTTGATAAACTAGTTTGTCTGTATGTATAAAGATAATAGTTAAACTCGAAATTCGGCAGAGTTGTCACTTGTTTGGAAATTGTTCATATACTAAACTCTACTTCAAATGTTGTTACCTGTTTAATAATTTGAATTAAATAAGAAATAAATTATAAAATCGGGATACCAATGCATAGTTCTTCTTAGAGTTTACACCATTTAAAAATATTGAAAACAACCAAATTGTTCAGATAATAAATATACAATATGAGTAGCAACCTGCATAAATTTAAAAAATGATTATTTCAACAGAGATGCCAACAGTTGAGAATTAGAAATTAAATAGATTGAAAACATAAATAGAATATTAAAATATGTGTATTAGAATAGAGGTGATTCAAAAACAACATAATCGAAAAATATAATTTTTTCCATATGGAAAACACTAAATTCGAATATTACACTACTAAAATAGGTCTACCATGAATTAAAAATTATCACTATTTTTTTTAAGCAATAAATAGAATATTAAAAATTGTTTTAAGACACTGATGAAGAATTCTTTAGTTCTACCATTCGGTAGTAGCTGGGCAGTGAAAAAATTAAATTTTAATCAAATATCTCCGGAAAAATGGTCAAAACGGCTTTATTTGCCAATCTTTCAACTGTTAATCTAAACAACTTTTAAGATTTTTTGATTGATTTTTTGATTTTAGGGTAGTGAAACACACCAGGATACCTCCAGTACTTGCTAAATACATTTTTTCTCGAACATTTAATTCATTTACATTTCGTATACGAGTACGTGTCGGCTCAATCACCTCTATGAAAAAATTTTAAACGCATGCTGAATGTAAATTATTACAGCGTGCTAAAATAAGTAAAAATCACTCAACTTAACTTCAATATATTAAACTTAATTAAAATATAGTGCCATTTAATAATAACAATCAATTAAAAAAACACTCTTCCACAGCGAGTGTATGAAAAATATCACTCATACGCCACGTCCCTAAGTACCGTAGTGGCCAAAGTATTAATAAAATAAATGAAAAATACTAAAATTGCCACTCAATAACTACATTTAGACACATAAGTTATTACAAAACATAAATATAACAATGAAAATATATAAATGTGTAAAACTTCTATGCAAATAACAAGCAGCTGGCAAACAATTTCTGAGTTTCCTTTCCTTAATAGTGCTCTCAGTACTTCACCAGCAAATGTCACAGCAACCCTTGGCTGTTGCAAATTAAATTGGCTACCCAAAATATAAAGAAAAACACCCAAAATAAGTACAACTGGCTTAACCAGCTGTATAAAATCACACAAAAATTCATTTTTCACAATATAAAATTTACATTTCAAGAGCGAACTGCTCAAAGCATTTGCATAGATTTTGAAGAGTGCTTATGAAATGAAATTTCGACTACAAGAAAAAGAAAATTTGGGAAATTTATAGAAGAATGTAATAATTTGAGCAAGTTTTTATGTGAATATGTGAATATGCTAGTTAAATGTAAAGTGTTTGCAACTGAAGTACTCTCTGACTTGCTGCTGGTTGCAGCAGTACCTCAGCTGTAAGGCCTTTTAAACTGAGAGCTTGAATTAAAATATTAATTTTGGTCAAAATAAGTAAAGAGCAGCTTGCTAACAACAATGCACACAAATGCTTCGAACATATTTGCATATGCCTACATGACAATTTATTATGTAAGAATATCTGTTGTAATTTTTTTGTGTTTTTTATTATTTTTTTCTTTTGTTTGGTTTGGTTTGGTTAAAAATGTCCTTTCAATAAGCAGTCCGTAAAGCGTTTGATAATGCCGGACTTTTACGACAAGTTTTCATTTGTGGCCTTACTTTTTTCATTTTCGTTTTAACATATTATTATTTTTTATTTTATTCCTTTCGCAAACACATTTTAGGTTAAGGCATGCACGTATGTATGTACCTCTCTCTCCGCACCCATGTAAGTCTTGCGCATATGAGCTCTTTTCTCACATGTCTTACATGCCATCTGACTTGGACTATGACCATTCATCATGCCTTGCTGAGCCGCCTGCAATCGTGATGTCTTACATAAGGAAGGTTTTGGTCATACTCAAATGAGCTCTATCACTTTGTGGCATGGCTGAGTGAAATGTTTTTCTTGCTTTCGAGTAGTAAATTTAAGGGGGCGTAGTGCAGATAGAAAAAAAGACAAATGCGGATTCATATGTTTTTGGGTAACTCCATAACAATAAAATCAATTTTCGAATAAGAAAAAGATTACAAAAAGAACTTTTATTTCCACTCTACTCTATTGAATAAATAAAACTTCCCTTTTCCATTACACGTACGATTTTCCAGCATTGCATTATAATATGAAATTTCTGTTATATACTTTTAAGCCAACACCGAAAATTTCATTTCTTAATTCTTGTA